ACTGCAAAAAAATCTTGTTAATGCATGATTTAAAAATATTTGATGCAAATAATATAAGAAAATAATATGCATTTTGGAATAAAATAATCTAAATGATATAATAAATAATATTAATGTTTACACATGGCTAAGAAATTAATAATATTTACATAGTAAATAAAATAATAGTAAATAGAAAAAATAAATTAATAGATAATAATTATAATAATAAAAAAATGATAATTAATATTACTAATAATAATAATTATAAATTGAAAATAAATAATATGAGGGAAGATATAATTAAAAGTAAAAAATAAAATAATTTAATTATGATCTAGGGGTGTGTAAAAAATTAGTTGAGCCTGGCCTATTCAGTAAATTGAGAGGGCCGGTTGGGTTACGTGTGGGGGGAGCATCGAAGTTACTATGGGACTTGGCCTACGACCTTCCGATCATGATCTAGTGGATGATAACGATGGTATTATGATAATTAGGATATATGCGCATGTATTGGATTTGAATGGAACATGAGTTTGTTTTTAACTTTTATATTTTATTCATTTGTTGCTTCAGTTCACAACCTTCTCTCTCTCTCTCTCTCTCTCCTCTCTCTCTCTCTCTCTCTCTCTCTCTCTCTCTCTCTCCTCTCTCTCTCTCTCTCTCTCTCTCTCGTGAATAACAACCCTCTTCCCTTTCACTCCACAAACCCTAAATATCCACCCACGACGGCAACTCACCAAACCCCTTTCCTAAATCCCCAATCAACATTAAAAAAGAAAAAGCAAGCTGAGTTACCCTCTGTAGCGATTTTGATATTGTCTTGGATCTAGTACTAATCTCTTTTCCTTCTTTGATTTCATAGGTCTTGCGAGCGGTGGTTCCCGGTGATGAGAGGTTGATGATGATGGTGTACGACGGAAGCGGCTAACAACGGCGATTGTGGTTTCAGATAATGAAACCCCCCAATCGTCCTTCTCTTCTTCAACAACAGCATTGGATCTCCCCCCCCCCCCCCTGCCTTCAAAGCTTTCGCCTCTTTCTCAATTTTGTTCAAATCCGCAGTTCTGTTCTTCAAACTCCCCCCCCCCCCTTTTTCTCTGTATTTGGTTCTTGTATTTATAGGCTTAGTATCTTAGGGTTGTTACGAACTAGCCTTAGTTTTAGGGTTTAGAGAATGAATTAGGGATTTCAATTATTGTAATTTATTCTAATTGATATATGTGTTGTATTGGATTTGTTCTGATAATTACTTTCTATAATATATTTGATTATGTTTTAGTGAAGATTGAGATTTAGCTTTCTATAGTATTTGAATTTGATTTGGTAATTGATTCGTATTATTGTCGCCGAAAAAGATTTGATTTTTTTAGTGAATTTTTAGATACTTTTTGATGAAAAATGCATAAAATAAATTAAATATATTATATTAAAATTGCCTAAAATAGAAAAACGAAAATAATATTTAAATAATAAAAACATGATTTTTGGGAAGATTTGAATGTAACTTGAAAATAAAATTAACAAAAATAGAATAAAATAAATCTTCAATCCAAATAATTAAAACCCAAAAAGAAATCAAATTTTGGATTTATAATTATTGTAACCAATTACATGGATTCTCTCCTAAAACAAATATTACTACCTAAAATACGAAAAGATAACAAAATATTTTTAAATCTTTTTTTATTTTAGATTTTTTTTGGTTATTTTTAGAATAAAAGGTGACAAAAACAAAAAAAAAAAAACTATTTTTTAAAATTCATTAATTGAAAATACGAAATTTAATATTTAAATATTTAAAAAATGATTTTTTTAATGATTTTGATAATGGAAATAAAATTAGTAACAATAAACAAAGAAATATAAAAAATATACCAAGTGAGATTTGAACTCGTAACCTTATGCTTTCAAGCTATGTTTCCATATCAATTGTGCTATGTTATTTGTTTGAAATAAAAAGTCAATTGAAAGTATATGAAGACGAGCAATTATTTGCTATTTTAAAAATACAAATGATTATTATATTTTTACACAGACTTGAAAGCAAATATTTATTAAAACCCCCAAAATATTAATGCCATTAAACCAAGGGAATTTTACCCTGTAAAATCCAAGTTCGAAAATAACTTTGACGGTAGCACTAAGGCGGGCAAATTTGGGGTATGACAATCATTTCCTCTTCCCGCCATTACTCTGCTTCACATTGCAAACATCAAACAACGGTTAGATAAAAAAACATCGACATTATTCTAGTGTCACACTACACTAACGACTCAACAACCTGGCCCGACGACTGAAGGTGACTCGTGATCGACAAAAGACTAGGACTTGTCCTAAATGAAGTAAATATTGAGTGAACTCTCAGTGAATTCCAGTATCATAATGGAACAAGATTTAATAATATAAATGAAAATATAAAAATAATGTTCAAAAGTAAATGAAATGTAAGTAAAATATTTAAAAGGCACAATTGAAAAGAAAGAAGTCTGCATTGAAATAAATTTGGTGATTCACGTACATTAACACTCTTGAACTCTTGCTTCCTTATGCTCGGAAATATGACAAGTGATTATAGTACAAAATGAACACACTGAATCCTATATTAGATTCTCTTACTTTTAGTACTTACATAATAATTGAACATGCACTTCAACGTAATACTAATCTGACACGTGCGTGGCTTCATAAAACTTGCTTCCTCAGATTTAGCCATGTAGTTGACGCCTTGATCAGAAAACTTCTTGCAACCGCTATCATATTCCAAATTTCAAAATTTATCCCGCTTATAAGTTTGCTTCAACATGAACCAATGCCGTAGACAAATAACCCAAATTCTCTAAGTCTTGGATTCCATTCTTATTGATGGAACTAAAAATTGGCTGGCTTGTTCTTGTTTCTATCAACTACTTGCTCTTTTGTTCGTCGATCTCCCTTTAATTCTTTATAAGAACTTTCCAGCTAGCACTTTCTTGACTATAATCTTCTTAAAGTCCGTAATCCTGGAAGACACTTTCTTTTCGTTCACAGGTTTTCCCTACTAACAATGTAATAAATACCCTAAAGAAATTGTAAGGTAACACAATGCAATAATACCTTGAAGTAATTTTAAGGTAACACATACAAATAAGGGTTAATACCATTTTATCTTCCTGCAATGTAGGCGAATTTCGCTTTACCTCCTGTAATATATATTTTTTGAATTATCCCCTGTAATTTTTTTAGATTACCCCTTAAGCGTATAAATTGAACATTGAATCTGGGAGGGGGATAAATCAAATATATATATATATATATTATAGGGATAACTTGTGCACTTAGGGGACAAAAAAGACATAGATTTTTAACATTTCAAAGGGGTGATCCAATTTTTTTTACAGGGGTAAGAGAATTTCACCTATATTGCATGGAGTATTGTATATTTAACCCTACAAATAATCATGAGATGAGTTTCATGACTCCTAAACCCTAATAAACTACCTCACTCATGGTGAGGAATAGCATAGACAGAGTAATTTTCTAAAAACATAATCAACGATAAAATAATTGATAAAACGGTAATAGATAAAACGGTAAACAAAACATGAATAAAGGACAAGCTTCAATATAAATGTATCCAGTTACTCTAATAGAGACTTATACAAAGCGATGAAATTAAAAGTGCGTGAAATGAAATTCTACGAGAAAATTGGATACCTCTACAACTCAACTACCTAAGTTTTATAGTTTATTCTAAACATGGATAAAATATTCGGCTCCAATGCCTTTTAAAAACAAAATCAACCTGAATTGGAATGTGCAAAGGTTTCCATTAGACTTTTGACAAATTTAGCAAATTATATCCGTAAATGATTATTCTATTAAATTCATTTTATTAAAAACAATGGAGCAAAAGATTAAAAAATAAAAATATTTACAAAAATCATCTACTTTAATTATATTTCTTTTAATATTAAATAATCAATTTTAGAAAAGTTTCAATGGCCGCTGTAAAAAAAATGTAGCTCAATGTGCGTTCCATACCATGTTAAAATATTTACTTAAAAATCTTAATCTAAACCTACTTAATAATTTTTTATGAAAAAACACATTCACTACATAAAATTATTCAATAAATTTAAAAAATAAATTTTCTTTTATAAATTAGACTATTAAAAATATTATATATTTGAATTACACATTTTATATAAACATTAAATATTTTATAAATAAAAAAATATTTAAATAAAAATATATATTAATTCAAAAAAATAAAATATATAATATAATATTTATAAATAAAAACTAGAGACAAAATCATTCAACAATTTAATTTAATTCAAAATTATTTTTTATATAACACAAGTAATATATAAATCATACAATTTTATAAGATTCAAACTAAACTATTATAATTTGATCTGTTTTCTTATGCCAAACAAAATTATAATCAAACTTTAACACTTTTTCTTTAAAAAAAAATAATTTATTTTAAATCAATTCAATACACTCCTGCTTACGTACATTAAATACACACAGTTACCAATTTAACAATGCGTAAAGTTACATGTATGTTTCAGTTTTTTTCAAACATGGAATCTTTTAAGTAAAAAGTTGCACCTAGTTAGTGGAAAATGTGCCAATGTCAAGATGTGGTTATAGGTTGAAATTTTCTTGGAAATTTTCCCTACATTAAATACTATTATACATTCTTAGTACTACTATTTAAAAGGTTATACACCAAACTTGGTAGCAGATCTTTTCTTTATAAAGCTGTGTGTTGTGAAGTTGAAAGAAGAGGTATAAGATTAGAGGTATTCTTTCTGCTAATGATACTATTATGAATATTATCTTACTTTTAGAGTTTAGTTGGATATGAGGCATCTCCACTATATTCATTTCTATGTCATTTTAACCTTGATTTGTTAGAAAATAATAATAATAATAACGTTACATGATTATTATTTATTATAGTAATTAAAATCTCATCTCTTATCATAAACAGTGTTGTGGAGACAAGAACAAAGATTTTATCAACAACAATGATCAACCAACAAAGTAAAAATATTTTTGCCGCTTCGACTTCAACAGTTCGGTTTTTTAAAATAATTACCACACAAAATATTCAAGATGGAAAAATAGTAAGTATTATTGAATTAATTTCTTATGAAATTTATTATTATGAAATTTATTATATATGTATTTTTGTAGAGGCTTCCAAAGGGGTTTACTACAAAGCATGCCAATGATATGCTAAATCCTATATTTCTCATGACTCCGGATGACAAAAAATGGGAAATACATATTACTAAAGTTGATGAAGATTTTTGGTTTCAAAAGGGTTGGAAGGAATTTGCAACGTACTATTCATTAGATCATGGGAATATGATTTTGTTTCAATTTGAGGAAAAATCTCATTTTGTGGTGCATGTATTTGGTAAGAGTACCCTTGAAATTCAATATCTTTGTCGTGACAATCAACATGAACAAAACAACATTGTCCAATCCAGTGATGAAGACTCAGTTGAAATCTTGAATACGTCAAATTCATCTAAAAAAAAGATTAGACAAAAATCACCAATTCTATGTCCTCAACCAATTAAGAAATTGAGAAATTACACAAATGAAGGTGTTGGAACAAGTACTAAGTTTCAAATTAGTGGTATAGTGCTTGATTTGATTTATTCTTTAACTATTTTAATAATTATCTAATTAAATTGAGGTTTATTTTACATATTTTTCTTTGTTATTTTTTTAGATGATACACTTGAAGGTGATGGAAAAGATTCGAAATTGTCCTATTTTTCTAAGCATTATATTCAAGCTAACGATGGTATATTTCTTGATTGCATATACTCTATCTTTTTATTTATCTCAAGCAAATTTAAGACATGATTATTTTATATATATACTTATATTGTTGATTTATCTAGAGAACATAGAGGGTAACCCTAAATGTCAAAAAGAAGAGCAGGAGGAACAAACTTCTAAAATTAATGAAGCAATAAATAGAGCAAGAAATTTCAAATCTGAAAAGCCTTATTTCACCATTGTTATGAAATCTTCACATCTTTCTACTCAAATTTTGGTAAGTCTATAATATTATTTATTATTTTTTGTTACAATAGATAATTATTTTTTTGATCTTTAAAATCAATTATTTATTCATAAAATTCAAATAGTGATTATTTATTATGTTGATTTTATAATATGTAAAAAAATGCAGCATGTCCCAATAATTTTTACAAAAAAATATATGAAGAAAGGGAAGAGTGATATTCTTCTTCAACTAATGGATGGAAGAACTTGGGATGCAAAATTTTATTTTGGAAAAATTAACGTTGGATGGAAGAAATTTGTAGCCGACAATAAGTTGAAAATTGGTGATGTATGTGTTTTCGAATTGATCGAAAGCAAAGATGTTACTTTTAAAGTATTAATATTTCAACTTGAACAAGAATCACATTTAACTCTTCCTCGAGGTATATAATCCAAATTGATTTTTTGATATACTTATTTTTATCATTTTTCTTGATTTATAAAATAATAGTTTGTCCATTTTTCTTAGAATTGGTTCAAAGAGAAAAGGATCGTGTGAGAGAGAAAAACACAAGTGAGTCGAAGAAGTTTGAGTCATTGATGGAAAGGACTAAGGAAACAACAGAGAACGTTGAACTATATGTTGCTTCAAATATGAGGGAGGTGTTAATAGGATTTTATTGTAAAATACTTCATGAGATTCAGAAGATTCCAAAGATCATGGATATCGTAAAGCCGTTGAAAGAATTACAAATCAAAAACTTATAGGTTGTCGAGAAGAAAAGATTGAAGAAAATTGAAAACCGTCTTGGTTGTGATCAAATTGAAGAACTCATTGAAAAAGCTAATGATGAATTGAAAGTAATTGACTATATGATTAAATAGGTTCTTTAAGGTACCCTAATGGTCACAAAATTAAGAAGATTGGAAATGAGGCATCAATTTCAAAGGTTCTTTAAGAAGCCTTACTATGTGAGAGTCTAAATTAGCAAAAAAAAAATAGTATTAGTGCCAACTCTAGCATCAAAACATAGAATTTTACCTTCATTAACTTTTGAATTATCTATTTAAATGTGTTTTTCCTTTTATTTTATTAATATTGCATTAAAGCAAATTATTTATATTTAGCATGTGTTTTTACAACTTATTTAGTAAGTCTTATTACCTAATCTGTTTTTTTTTTTTTTATAAAATTAATTAAATAACTCTATCATTTTATGTTAAAATCTTTATAAACTTTAACAGACAATTAATAACAATTACAACATATATTTGGTTGTTCAAGAACCAAATACTTTTATTAGGAATGTTGCTCTACGGAAAAAACTAAATATTTAAAAGCATATTAGTAAGAAAAAAAATATTTTTTGTGTAACAAAGTCTTTAGAACACACAATGTATTAGAATGTGACAATTAATCATTTTTTAAAGACAATGTTCATATATGTGATAATGATAAATGATTACGTAATTAATACGAGGTTTCTTTTATAGATTAAATTTCATCTCATCACAAATTCGTATTAATTTAATTATTTTAAAACTCACACATATACATCTTCTTATTTATCTATACATATATTGAATTGAAATACCTTAACATTTCAAACCAAAAACCTATTCTCCCTAACAAACTAAAAATAAACAAATGATTCAATGCTTCGTTTGAAAAAATTACTAAACAAATTTAAATATTCAATTCCTTCCAACTCTTCATTTCTCTATTTATATTATTAGAGTTTTATTCATAATTGACAAAAACATATCTTATATCTTATATGCACGTATCATATTAAAGTATATAATATCATAATTGTAGAAAATAAATGACACATGTATTTATCATTATAATATGTAATTTATAATAATAAATATACTCTTTTTTATGTAATCTTATGATAATTAAGAAATTTTTTATAGCGAACTTAGGTTTTAGTGAGATAATTTGAGAGTTAGGTACGGTGAGGTCTCTCTTTTCTATCTTAGCTAAGTTAAGATAAGAGGGTTTCAGTCTTTTTCATCCTAATAGAAAAACCTTTCTCTTCTTAGGTCAAAAAGGAGAGTTCTTCTAATTGATTTTTTGAAGGTATATCTAAGAGAGTGGAGGCGAGCTTCCATACTTCTTTTAGGGATGATCCTTCATAAGGGAATATCCCCATAAAGATTCAGTTTTCTGATTTGTTTTTCAACTCTCTCTGACAAACAATTAAGGTGAGTGAGATAGGAAAGTTTATTTACGGATACCTACTTAGGATCTTAGCTGAGGAGACTTTTCTTCATCACTTTTGATTTGTTTCATGCTCTGCTTAGATAGGTCAATCTTTCCCAGGATAAAGATGAGTGGATTTAGAAGCACTCTAAAGAATGATTGTTTTCAGTGGTATCTGGTTATCAAGTTCAGTGTGAGAGATTATCCTCTACATTGACACATCTTATCCACCAGGATCACATTCTTTCCTTTATTTGGAGTATGTGGATTGCGTTAAGATTTTAGTTTTTTACTTGCAGTTATTGTAGGGTAGAATTCCATCCATAGTGAATCATTTTAGAAGAGGCACAACTACAAAACGCGCATATAGCAACGCCAAAGTCATCGCGATTTTCCCAAAAACCATGGTGACATGTCTAAACTCCAGTGCTAATATTATTTTTATATTTTTAATTAAAATTTTAAATAGTATTATAACGGTTGGTGTTAACACCGTGGTTGATCCAATGAAAGTTTCATGGGTTCGAACCTCAACGCCCTCAAATAATTTATTACTTTGACGTTAATGAGCACTTTTTCATTTTATTTATATGTAACTAAAAACTAATAGTGATATCACTACGGTTGTTTTCTAAAACCGTTGTTACACACACATACACTTCTTATATATTTCAAACACTATAAGTATTCATCTGAAAAAAGAAACAAGATGAAACAGACCCTAACATCAAGGTCGTTGTCATCATTGGGAAGGAAGACAAGAACACCGACACAATATTCTCTTTTACAGTACATAAAATATGTTTTTGTTGTTTAGTTTTCTTTTAATGTCGTATTTGAAGACAATGTCCTCCAAAGGTGTTTCTATGTATTCTTCTTCTGTAAAATCTCGATCTGAAATTTTTTGTGGTTGTGATAGTCGTATGGTTTCGTATTAATGCAAGAAGGGACAAAATAAATGAAGACTTTTTTGGAGATGTTCATTTTGGAGGAGTGATGAAACCTGTAATTTTTTCATATGGGATGAAGACATGGGAGAAAAAGGTGGAAATGAAGATGAGAGCATTATGAAGTTAGAGGTTGAGATGTCAATTTTGAAGGTTATGTAAGAAGACTCAAATAAGAAGAACAAGAATTTGAAGAACAAACAGAAATAAGAGAGATTATCTGGAAATTTGAAGATGTTGCGTTTTCTTGTTTCCTTTATGTTTAATGTTTACTTTATTATGAAATGTAATAGTTGAATTCCATTATTGAAACTGCAAATGTAATAGACGATTTCTTACGAGTAACTTCATTGCAAACTATTGAATTTCAATTAGTTATTTGTTTGATAGTATATTAGTTGATAGATTTAAGATTGTAGTTTAAGTTGATAAGCTTTCATTACATATAAAGTTTCATTATATAAACTTTTATTACATAAACTTAATCAATCTAAATATTCTGGATGAGAGGAAGTTTGACCAATCATAGTCAGTATCATCATCATCATCAGATGAGAAAAAATTATCTACCTTATCAACCTTATTTTTCTTCTTCTTCTTCTTCTTCTTCTCCTCACTCTGAGAGCTCTTAAGTACAATATAATTGCACATGACCGCTTCTTTTCTCATCTTGATTCTAAAGATGGTTTTATACCACATCACTCTCTACAACAACATCTTGATTCTCAGCATTGTTGGTAGCTTGAGTAGGAGAACTCATTTTGATTCCTTTGAAAAAAGTTAGTTTTGTGTTCTTCCGCTTTTATATCGTTTCTTCTGATTCTTCATCTTCTTTAAAAGTTGAAAAGATTTCAAACATGTCAAGCTAGT